TGGGCTGCAGCACTTATTTTTTTGAACCTCTTAGTGATTTGTGGTCTAAAATTTAACCTCAATTTGGGATTTTTGATTCTGGTGTAGACTCTTCAGAAGACCCTCTAAAACTTAATGTGAGCTTGTGAGTAGCAAGATACTCCAGGAGATCCTAATGAAGGACAGGGGACCCTAAAATCCTTAAAAGAAAGCGCTTCCCATCTTAATGTGGAATCAGCATTAGGAAGCCTAGGCATGTCTACTGAGAAATAGAACACCTGAGCTCTGGATTTCCCCCCTCGGACACAAAAAACCCCTGAGCTTTGGGCAGGGTTTCAAGAACACCTTTAAAGTGCTTAGTTTCAGGAGACCAGCCGTGTGTTACTTGGCCTTGCTGCTTTTTCTTTGACAGACTATGTATTTGAATCCTACCCATGAAATTGAGAAGTTACCCAGATTTCGGTAACAAAGTGAAGAAACATATCCCAATCAGTCCCTGTGACCATCTCTAAAATATTGTATCGCTTCCTGCCAAATTGCTTATCAACTAGCCACCCAACACTTAAGTGGAGTCTTGGTCCTAATCCCCTTCAAATTTCATACTGCAGGGAACATTTGCCCTGTGTACAAAGGGGAACTATCAGTTCTCCAAGCCAGATCCAAGGAGTGGCTTTGTAGAATGACAATTTGACTTCAGTGTTTCTTACATTGCTTCTACATTGAATTTGCCAAAAATCAGAATAGTACTAATATAGTACTCTCCCAACTAAAAATAGTATTCTTCCAACTAAATGTTTATTAAAAGTCCTAAGTTTTCATGAGCTGCACTTCATCAGATGGAGAGGAAATACCTTGTAATGCACAAAAGCTAAGGCTTTTTAACGAAACTTGTTTGTGTTTCCAGACTCATTCGGATTTTTGCCTACCACAGGCTAACCTGGCTTTCTTTCTACAATGCCTTTGAGTTCGTAAGCAAATTGTGGGCCAGTTATATATGAGGATGAGGAATAGCCTAACAATATCCCTTAACTAGGTTTTGAAATTATGATCATTGATGATATTGATGTTTCGTTTAAATAAAGTTGTTGGAGAGCAATTCATCCCAGAGAAAGGTGATTTAGCATTTGCAAATGAGAACACTTTGTAATGTAGCATCTGTTTATTGATGATGTTGAAATAAGTGCTGTATTATGCCCATAGTAAATTGCACTCCTAATTTTATGGAAGTCTTATTTTTTCAAGAATTTGTAAGGAATTCTTTATTAAATTGTACCAAGAAGAGTAATTGGATGATAATCATTACATTTGCTCATGGAATTTATTTGTAACCAAGGAAACCAGGTCTGTCATTTGAGTTCTGTGCATTGTCTTGAATAGATCTGTAGCTTTAGCCAGATAGGTCATATTTGTAGTGTGCCCTTTTTGCAAAGTGGTATTCATGATCTTAATTCCATTTATATTTGCTTTAATCTATAGAATAGACTGAGATTGACCTTGGGCCAATCACTCTCAGTCAAGCCCACTAAACAGGGTTGTTGTGAGGAAAATATGAGGAGAAAAGCATATTGGATATGTTCGCTGGGTTGAGTTATTTTGAAAATAATTAAGGCGGGATATAAGTACAAGAATAAATAAATAAAATATATTACTACAGGATGACAGTCCCCTGCCATATGTTGAATGGACCAAGTATATAGAACAACCAGTGCAAAAATGTAAGATCTAAAGATACTAATCCTCAATGTTATTTAATGGGGTGAAAATTAAGTTTTACAATTTTTTTTCAGTGAGGGTTTCTAAAAATGTGTGTTTTTACACCAAGAATTCAAATGTGTTGTTATTTTTGCAATTGCACAACATTTAGCTTGGTATGGTAAACTGATGTCTGATCATATACGCCACAAACGTCTCTTGTAACCCAAATACTTTTAACTTTATCTTCTCAAAATTACACCTTGTGTTACAAAAAAGTAAAAGTTTTTTTTCTGCATTAATCTTAACTAGCTAAATGGCTATGGAGATTCTCAGTCATCCAGGTCATGACTGTCCCAAAGGTGTTTTTTCAAGAGGCAACTGGATTTTCTGCTCTCTTTTTGGGGGGGAAGATGTTTTGCTTCTCATCTAAGAAGCTTCTTGGACGTGAAATGTCTTCAAAGAACAACCAGAAAGTCCAGTTGTTTCTTGAAAAAGTACCTTGGGGACTTATCTAGCTAAGCAAAAAACAATCCATTCAATCATAAACTTAACATCAGAAAGAAATTATCTGAGTTACAAAAATGTTGAAGGGAGTTTCATCAAGCCTTGTTTTGATTCGTTCTTCACCATCAGCTGCCGACTTGCTTCTTGGCCTCTGACATAATCCTCCCATTTCTCTTGTGTCTCCACTCTGCTTGCTGCCTCTGTGACCTGTTTCACACATCCCTCTATTGACTGGGCATGACAGGGCCACTGTGGTCCTTCCATTGGTTCGTCAGCGAACATCCTTATTTCCGCTGCAGTCACTTTGCACGTCCAAGGTGGCTCATCTACACCTTCAGTCAATCAGCTCCACCAGGATGGATGATTTCACATTGATTAAAGGCATTTTTCTTGCAGAAAACTCTCCCAGTGTGCCATTGCCTGCACCGCTCAAGTCAGTGGTCTTTTGCACACCAGCTCTCCTCTCGAATACCACCTGAACACAAGACTGGATCATCATTTCACTGAAAGTGTACCATGCTGAGCGCTAAACGGTTGGCAAAACAGCATCTAGTAGACCTCTTTTGCAGTCTGACTTGCTGCAGCTGGAACAACACATGACGCAGCCCTTCAATCCAGGGATGTTTTACTTTGATCTTGAACCACTAAGAATAGTACATACCATTGATGTAGTCCACTATCATTCTTAAGTTTTTGAGAGTTTTGCTTTTAAAGCCATGTTTTCAAACCCATATTCGACAAAGTCTATTTGCAGTTGTCAACCGGCGTGAATGGCTTACGGGGTCAATTTCCAGAAGAGCCAGGTCTGTGGGAAGTTCTCCTGTCCTTGTTGCCTGTGTGATCCTATATCCATACACTTGATCAGTGGAGAGATCCTTTACAACACTGTTGCTTAGTGAAATGAGAGGCTCACCAATTGAAACTGGTGAATGAAGGATGTCAAGTTCTGTTTCAGTGTCTAGCATGTTGCCAATTTTACCTGCCCATTTGTTGTTAGACAAGGCATTCCCATCTAATTTTGTGATGGTCGTAGGAGTAACTCATTCATGTGGAGGGCACACACCAACCAGATCAACTTCCAGTCAAGCTTGACCTGTACTCAGTGCATGGCACCACCTTCATAGCCATATTAACCTTTGTAGAATCTCCTCTAATGGCCTTCAAGCTTTTGTCAATGTCTTCTTCATAAAGTACACCAGATTATCTGCAACCACTTGAGCAGGTTTTCCTGTTTTTGAGCCTTTCTCTAGAGTGAAATGATATTTGAACTGATACTAGCTTTTCTTACAGAGCTCATCCAATTCTTGATCTAGAAACTATATTTTTTCCTGGGCTCTCTTGGCTTTATTGTGGCCAACTACAATAAAGACTACATACTCTTGTCTTCTTCAGTGATCAAGCCAGCATCTATGAAGTCAGGTGTGGTAATGGCAGCTGTGGCATGTAGACCAACACTGTATCTTATGCTCTGCATAGCGGCATTTGTTATTTCTATAATCTATTGTTTTCTGCCTTTTCTTTTGAAGCAGAGGGCACATGTGCTTGGTCCAAGGCCTCTTCCTAACTTCCATCACATTCCTCTTCATCTTCATCTTCATCATCAATCGTCTGTCCTTCATTTTCATCATAAGAGAGAATTACCTCATTGGTCAGTATCGAAATGTCTGAAATACTTCTCTGCTTATATTTGGCGAACTTTCATCTCATTGTCTTGAAACTTTTGTCTTTTGATTAGTTGTTTCTGCTCGGGCACATCTGGCAAACCAAGCTGGTGCGATCCAAAAGAACCAATCTTGTCTCTCTGACCTTTAACAAAACCAAGTTCCTTCAATGGTATCTTTGTCTCCTTAGGGCAGGTACAGTTAATTGCCCCCCCCCCTTTTTTTTTTAGCAGCCAGCAAGGCAGCTAAATTCGGTACACAGAACAATTTAACACTTGCAGTTGAGGATGTCAAACAGTTTGTCAAATTTCACCGTGAAAGTCTCTTTGGCATCTAGCTTTCCTCTACCAAGAGATATGTTTTTGGCTTGATTCCAGCTCTTTGGGATCTTGTTCGGGATTGTCACTCGTGAATTTAGAACAGGGATCACAAAATAACTGTTTGCTCATTCCCAGTTTTCAAGCGCTTTGGATATATGTCTCTTGCAAGACTGGCTGCTGGGTAGTTTCTAGCATTATCACTATTTTGTTCTCTTAACAGTAGCCCATATCTGAGAATGTCTCTCATTATCAGACGGCAACAGGTCTCTGCCAGTCCCAATTAGGTTGCTCATATGAGTGAATATTTCCAGTCTTGTTCTTTTTTTAGAAGCCATTAGAGATCACTTATAACATTCACAGGAAATGAGGCCAGCAGTATTAACACACTCTGACAAAATAACTTTGAACAAAAAGAGAAAGACAGTTGAACTTGTGAAATGAAACAAAAGAAAATGTTAAAAAGTGACATTTATGTAGTTACTTACTAAGCACATCTAAATTATATTAAAGTAACCAAAATACCTTTACAATCCCCAAGGCATATCACAACTTTTGAGTACCCCTAATGTTTGAAAATTGAAAGTTGGAAAATTTGACATGCCCTAAAAATTCTCCCATTTGTCTTTCTGATTTTGGGAAAATAGTTGTAGGTCTGTATAATTCTTCCTTTTCACAAGGTTGAGTCATGCAGAATTTCTTCTATAGCACATGGGATTTTTGTGGCTGTCTACATCTGGAAAGAATGGCATTTCCCCAAATAGTGGAGATGTTATCTTATAGCAGTGATAGAATAACTTTTTCTCTTTGTGCCAAATAAGTTTCCCCCTTTTTTCTTCTAAAGGGGATGAAGGAGAGCATCACTCTGCAGCTGTGCCGATGGAAGAAGAGGAAGATGACGATGAGGATCCTGAGAATAGGTATGATTCCATCCGTAAGGACTTTAAAAAGATTATAACACACCCTAGGCGTGGGCTCAGGCGAGACCAACGGAACAGCAAGCAGGTTGTAAAAACCAGAAGTGCCTGCCTTGTACAGACTCGCTCACAGGCTTCCCGCCAGCTTGAACGAGAGGCCAGAAAACAAACCCCCCAATCCAGAAATGAAAAGAGAATCCGATTTAAGTGTTAACTCACACACCTTGCATAGGGTGTGTTATAAATGCAGCACTGTCCATTTTAAGTTTCCATGTATAATGTGGATTTTGTGTAAATTGTACAACTCTTTTTTTTTTTAAAGCAATTTGATAATTACAACTCTCCACAAGAATGGGAGAGGAGCAGTTACTCAATATTGATAGCATTTTGATGGCACTTGAACTCCTTTTCAACTGGGATATAAATTAGCTCTCACAAAAACTTGATCAAAACTAGCCAGAAGTAGAACCTGCTTTTGGAGAAATCCGTTTCCTAGTATCCTGAATTACAGATTTCTGTAATTTCAAAACTCAATACTTGGTAGTAGTAATATGATGACTTGAATTTGTGCCTGCTTCAGTCATTTGAAATTTTATTGGCTTTGTTTAGATTACAGCTGCATGTTAAATTGAACAATATGTATATTTGTTAACATTTAATGTTAAAATATCACTGTAGTTAAGGATTTCATTTTGTAGGCCTTACAAACTTCATAATACATGAATTCTGTAACTGATATAAGCCAGGAAAGAATAGATGTAACTAAGATGTAATAGGAAACAATTTATTTAGCTACTGCCATTTATATTGTCTTCTAATATTCAGCTTACCATTCTTGGAAGTTTCAAATTTTAACACTATTTAGTCATGTTATACCAACTAAACTGATTTTTTTAAATGCATAGAACAGTTTGCAGTCTTTAGAGACTTAACAGGGCATGAAGCCTCAATGAACACATGGGGGACTTAAACTAAGAAGATATTCAGAGGGTTGCACTGTTACAGAATTGACAGCATGCTTTTGTTAAGGCATCTATGCCCAGTGTTGATTATCAAGCAGTTTCTTTGCAGGAACTGTTCCAGCAAACTCAATAGAATATTTGGGGAGTGATAGATATGCACTTGGCTTTGTGGGGCTTAGAATTGTTTGTTACTAAGTCAACTGGTTTTTACCTAGAGAAAACAAAACATATTTTTTTGTACCTGAAATGAATTTTATCACTTAACTTGTTCTCCAGTGTGGAGCTGGGTACAGATAAAATGCTGCTATTCTAGGTTATTACTTGCTTTTCATATACAATGTTTAAAAATGTTTTGAAAATGAACTTTAATATTTGTTTAGGGATTGCTATAGAAACGGTGGTGAGGAAATTGTTCAAAAATTCTGTTAAGACTTTCAAAGAGTGAAAGTAGAGTTCGTTCTTTCATTGTTAAGTTTTAAAAATTAATTTCTAGCAGAAAAATTATATTAAAAAAAATCAAAAGCTGGATTTTTCAAAAAATTCACAGTGCTTAGTAAATGAATCATATTTGTAATCAAAAAATAAAATTTTACTCATAAAATTCCTGGACTTGCTTTAATGTGGGAAAACCCCAGAATACTGTATTATCCAGGAATAAAATTGATCTACCTCTCTTACATGGAGTTGGTGTTCATAGACAAGTAATTAACCAATATGTATGTTGGTTAACATGTATTGAAATGCATCGCTTTTGCTTCAGAGTCAGGAAATGGCAATTAAGTAGTTGGTCTGATATTAGGAGGGTCCCAAGAGCAGATATTAGGAGGGTCCCAAGAGCAGAAAGACAACCAGGCAGGGAGACACTTCTGCTTCTTCTCCCTGTTGTGGTACCTTCAATCTTGCACTCTGAAGAGCAGCTCATGCAGCACAAAAATGCTCCCATTTGCAAGTTGAACCGATTTTGCCTGCGCATGGAATCTGCCTCTGGGAGTTGCACTGTGATCAATCAATCCAAACTTTCCAGTAAATGTGCTTAGGCTTGCAATTTGACTGTTGCTTGCTTTTGCTTTTTTAATGAATGAAACAGTTCTGCCAGGCCAAAGAAAGATGTTAAGCGATCTGTAGTATTGTTACAACTTAGACAGTGGTGTTTAAAACTTTCTTTTTCTGAAGAAACTATTTTAACATGCCTCTTGTTAAAAATGTTAAAATCAACTTTGCCAATTTGCAATATTTTAGTGAGTCTTAATATAACAGACAGTGCTGTATTTCATTGTGGTGTGTATTTGTTTATTATTGGTTTGTCTGAATTTTTAAATAGTGCTGTTTCAATATGTTTGGAGTTACTTTGTTCATTAAGAGATTCATAGTGTATTCATGCACAATGCCTTTGAAGTATTTGATGGATGCAATAAATTTTTGTAAAACATGTTTCTCGTCCAAGCATTTAATTTAAGAAACACATTTTTTTCTACTAAGATGTAATAGGAAACAATTTATTTAGCTACTGCCATTTATATTGTCTTCTAATATTCAGCTTACCATTCTTGGAAGTTTCAAATTTTAACACTATTTAGTCATGTTATACCAACTAAACTGAATTAGAGTATGTAATGTTTTTAATTTACTCTCATACTCAGAGTATGTCAAATATGTAATTGCAAACATACTTGGTGTGATAGTTGGTGTAAGACATCTCAGAAAACATGCACATGGATTTGGGACTCTTATCTCTGACCCTCTGCATGATGGCCTTCCAAATTCCTTAACACTCACCTCCCCTCGCTATAAACCATGTTGATTCATGCATTTGTGGGTACAGGAGACCATGTCCAGAGCTGATGTCAAAAATTGCCTGTAGTGGGGGGAAATAGAAACTACACATGTGGCTATGCAAATATATATGCATTTAGTCTTGCAGTTGAAACTGCAGTAGATCAGGATACTGTAGACTTGGAAAGGAGTAAAAGCCATTCTCACTTTAGTACTATAAATTGAATAAACATTTGACAATGTCACCAACAATCTTGTGGAAGAAAAATAAGGCAGCATTAGCTTCTGGTAATGGGGTCTGCAGATAACTGCTATCTTGGCTATTAAAACAATGATTTTAAGGCCATCCAGAAAACATCAGAGAGTTAGTTTCCTTGACAATCAAATGTATTAGTTGTGATTAATGTACTTCAGATCTAATTCATAATGTGCTTTTTAAAGGCATTTTAAAGTAGTTTATATTACGCTGAGCATAAGCTTCACATTATTTATATCACAATATGGGAAGGTTGGATGATAAACCCGAGTAATACACTAGTATTTGTCTATAGTGTTTGTGTTTACTAAAAAGATATTTAATGAATAGAGGGTTCAGCTTCTCCGAAGTCCATTCCCATGGCTGCATCTCCTTTCCTAATTAGCATTTTCTGAATGCCATTATGTCTTTACAGCAGTCAAAATGGACTTTATTTGAAACAGCAAATCATTTTACTATCAGTTATGACTTTAACAGATTAACAGACTTGAAAGGGAGCTTGTAGATCATCTAGTCCAACCCCCCCACTTAGAATATGTGTCTCCTTTTGGAAGTCCAACTATCTGATATTACATATTTTGAAACCCAAGCATACTTTGAGATGGTTTGCTTCTTTGTTCCACTTGATAAAAGCTAGGTATGTAAAGTGTTTGTCAACACTAAATGCAACAATTTGATCAGAAATTGAAACTGACACATTTAGTTAAAATGTTAACAGAAAAAAACTCAGCTTTTGTCATACTTCTGTTTTTCTTTGGCTTTGCTTTCCATAGAAACCAAGGTCAAAATCTGTTGTAGGATTCCAGAAACATGGAATCAGGTTTACAAAAAAAATATTTTTTTTTTAAATTGTAAATGAATATTTATGGACACTTCTAAATTTTGGGAGTTAAAATGACATTCAGGGGTAACCTACTTAATACCAATTAATCATTTCTAACCGTTATTGTGTTGTTCATCATAAAATTTAACATGCTGATTAATATACCTGCACATCTTGTGATCTGACTAAGGAAAATGTGTGAGTTATTCATGGTAGACTGGCAGGCTCAAACCTGTTAATTTGGACAGCAAAAATACGCAATGAGAAAAAGCATATGAAGGGTCTTTGATGCTGTCTGGGCTTGGTTGTTTTGTGTTTTGTTTTGCAAACGTTTCATTGCCCAAACTAGGTAACTTCACCAGCACAAAAAGACGTTGCCTAGTTTGGGAAACGAAATGTCTGCAAGAAAACAATCAAGCTCAGAGAGCACCAAAGACCCCTTATTTCAACCCGGAACCACAAATATTCTCCTTTATCAGTAAAAGCATACTTTCATAGGGCTTGGTGACCTTTAAATCCCCAACTTATGTCAAAATTGATGTAAGTAAGCCTTCCACTTGAAGCTCTTCTCCTTGTCGCAACACCTTTGGTTTCTTGCTACCAGAATTTCTCTAGCTATGCCTTGCTGCTCTTCTAGTTTGCTGACAAGTTTAATTCATTGCTTTGGAGAAATCCAAATACTCTTGACACAGTATTGGAGAAAAAGATGGCTGTGGTTAAATAGTTAAACTTACTTTTGTGTTAAATTTCTTCTTCCCATTCAATGTCATTGAAGAAAAGTGCTCCCTAAAGAGTTATAGTAGATTGAAGGGAATCAATACAATGGTGCATACCAATCTTGCTCTTTGGATCTGTTTTAGTCCAGAAATAGCTGTGTGTCAGATTGAAAAAGTGTGGTGAAACTTATTATTTCTTTTATTCATTAAACATGAAAGTCAGTCAACTGAACATTTAAAAATGTATCATAAATATCATTGACTGGCACTGATGGTTGATACAGGCTGCTGCCAGCAAGTATTATTATTATTATTATTATTATTATTATTATTATTATTATTATTAT